AATAAAAAAAAAAAGGGGAGTAGCCTATGTGTTCTTCCAAACTATCCTCTACATCTATACCAAATTTCATTGAAATCTGTTCAGTCGTTTTGGCTATAAACTCTAACAAACATCTATCAATCCATCTAAACTTTCGCATTTATAATATTGTACGCTGTAAGTGACTTAAAAACTACACTTAGCCACTACGGACGAACAACTGCATATTTCTATATTAATCTGAAATTGTTCTGTTAACGAAAAGTTACTTTTCTATGGCCATCCCACCTCCTGTTTAGGTAAAAATTGTATAATAATCGTTTTAAATACACAGGTAACTATTGAAACAACTCCGTATCACATAATATGCCATATGATCCTATGATTGATTACTTTTGATATAATATTAAGATATCGCAATTAGCAACCAAAATGTTTTTACTTTATTTCAAGTAGGTATCAATATTTCTCGAGTTATATTTAAATGGCATGACGTAGATAATAAAATTTGGTACATAAACGTGTTAAATCGTTATAACAACATCTTATCGAAATCCAAGGTCATATAAATTATCTAATCAATACGCAACATAACTGAAATTGATACGTATTTGAAAATAACAAATCTTTTCTGTATGATTTAAAATTAAGGAAAACAAAATGGTAGAAAAATTAAACTCTACCAAAAGGAGAAATAAACGAAAAGTAAATCCAAAGATATTTTTCATTATACTTTAATGTAAGAGGTTATAGTCAATTTTATCGTAATTATCATATGAATAAAACCGGTAAATTAAAAAACTTGCTAATTTTAAACACCAAAAATTATTACTTAGATGTTAGCAGCCACCCTAAAGATATCGAAAAATAAAATAGATATAAAAACTTCTTTAAACTAGACCACGTTAATGGTAGCTTCCCCCTCCCCTAGACGTAGCCATCATCTGGCGACGCCGCACAGTTATGTAAGCAAAAGTAATTATCATATCAAAATGAACAAAAGGTTAAAAGTCATTCGCCATGTTTTTATAGTGTGATAAACCCATGAGTGTTATGGTATCACTGATAAACATTATTATAGAAATGGTGTGACCATTATTAATTCCATTTTTTATTGTGCAACTGCCATCTTATGTATAATAGCTATATAATTTATATTATTGGCAAATACCAGTATTAAATATCACTTGTTATTTTCTTAAAAACAGAGACAATAATATACTCCAAGTTAATTCATTGTCTACAATTTTATTTGTCTTATTTACAATCAACCCATCTAGTTCCTCTGAGAATACCATTTATAGTGAATAGAATTCCGGAATAGCCTGTTTTATTATTGTGCAGTTAATTTTTTAATATTTACTTTCAGGTGAGCAGTGTGAGAGTTATGTAGAATATTATGAGCAGGTGACGGCAGAGAGATGAATCCTGCGGACATGACGACCGACTCTGTGATCCCACAGTATTGTATGTTCTACTTTATAACAATTGTTATATAAAATGTTGACATATTTATAGATCTACCATGTGTAACATGACTTGTAATATATTTTGTTATCAATAAAGGAATTTTAATCAATCATTTGTTTGCTTTTATTCAGTAATCTAAATTTTTTACCAACAAATGTATTTATGAAAAAGCTGTACACAATTCAGTTTATGGTTTTTTATCAATTTGCACTTTAGTTTATATATCACATTGAGATAAATAAATGATAAAATTAACATTTCCTTACTATTAGCAAATGCTTAAATGAATTTTATATCCAATCTAAATCTCTTATTAGCTTCTAATCATGAGATCTCTGTCTACATATTTATGTAAGTGGAGAAACTGTTTAATGAAAGAAAATTCTGGAAATATTACTTTATTAACATGTGATAGCTTATACAAATTCAGTATTAAGGTTTAATAACATTTATAAATGCTTCTGAGTACAAAAATATATTTGAAGCTCTCAGGCTTACATGTGCACTACAGCTCTGATAGATTTACCAACATGCATCAAATGGAATGCTTCGTTGATTTCTTTCAGAGGCACATTATGAGTAACAAACTCATCCAAAGGCAGCTTCTTGTTAACATATTCATCTACCAACTTTGGAACACTTTCACGGCTCTTGTATCCACCGAAAGCTGTGCCCTTCCATGTGCGACCTGTCACCAGCTGGAACGGACGAGTGCTGATCTCCTCTCCCGCTGCAGCCACTCCAATGATGACAGATACCCCCCAACCTTTGTGGCAAGCCTCCAGGGCAGCACGCATTGTGTTGATATTACCAATACACTCGAATGTGTAGTCCAGACCTCCATCCGTCAAATCAACAAGTACTTGCTGAATCGGTTTGTCGTAATCTTTAGGGTTAACAAACTCATTCACTCCAAACTTCTTTGCCACTTCAAACTTGTCATTGTTAATATCGACACCGATGATTCGCTTAGCCCCCGCCGCCTTGCAGCCCAGTGCTACAGCAAGCCCGACAGCACCCAAACCAAATATAGCGCAATTCGTTCCAGGTTCCACTTTGGCAGTGTTCAATGCTGCTCCGTAGCCTGTAGGCACTCCGCATCCGAGAAGACATACTTTATCCAACGCTGCGTCTTCATTAACCTTACACAACGAAATTTCCAGAACGACTGTATATTCACTAAATGTGGAACATCCCATGAAATGATAAAGCTCCTTGCCCTTGCAGCGGAATCGCCTCGTCCCGTCGGGCATCACACCTTGGCCTTGGGTTATGCGAACTTTTTGGCAAAGATTGGTTTTAGGGCTCAAGCAAAACTTGCACGAATTGCACTGGGGCACATACAGCGGCACGACGTGGTCGCCGGGCTTGACTGACGTGACGCCTTCGCCGATGCTCTCCACGATTCCACCACCTTCATGACCGAGGACGACGGGGAATACCCCTTCGGGATCTTTACCTGACAGAGTGTAGGCATCGGTGTGACAGACGCCGGTTGCTAAAATCTTTACACGCACTTCGCCGGCTTTCGGGGGATCAACTTCGATTTCTTCAATCGAAAGAGGTTTTCCAGCCTCCCATGCGACCGCAGCTTGACATTTAATAACTTTACCGGCTGTAGACATCCTGCTCAATTCGCGTACGACCGTTTACCACAAGCGTATAACGCAAATTGAATTGAATAATATTCAAAAGTACAGTACCTGGTACTGTAGAAGTTGTTAACTACAATATGTAATTTCTATAGTGGCGATGGCGAACCTTGACACTGAGCTCCAAACTTCAACTGAGAGCTGATAAAAAGTATAGTTTATGTTAATTTGTTTTAACAATGCGAAGTTGGTACGTTTCAAATTTCGCGTTTTGTTACTACTTTGAAAACTTTATTTTATAAGATGTTTATTCATTCATTGATCTTTATTAGTGATTTAAATCAAAAGTTACAGCATTATATAAATAATATACAGCATTTTATAACTTATTGACCAACTCATTATCAAATCTAACTTCATTCCAATAAACAAAAATTGCGCGCACTGTATCGGCTTATTACGTCATACGACGTATCAAGTGTCGACCTTGAATTTACGAATTGGGTTGAGGAATTGAATTCACAAACAATTCATAATAATGATCTCGGTGTGACCATATAAAATTGGGATAAAATGATATTTGTGTTGTGTTGTAAAAGAATGTTATTGAATTGGAAACAAATACTATGAAAATCAAATAAGATAAAAACACGTACAGTGAAATAATTTTGCGTTTTGTTTCATTCTGATAAAACGGATCGCTATTAGTTAATTTGTCTATAATTTGGTAACACCATGGGTGGACTACTAGAACAGGATAGAGCTCTTGTCGATAAATTTAAGCCGAGCGAGACCTCAATAACTGTACCATTTTTCCCTCTCTGGCCATGGTGACCATATTGAAATAAGATATTAGGACAATAATTGTAAATAAATAATTCGTGACCTGATGTCAGCAGAACATTGCTTCAGATGGATTTTAAACGAACACTCTATGACACATTTTTTCATCATTTTAACAAGGCAATTTTAAAAATATCACGGATTTCAAAAACGCCGCCGTTGAAGTCCGATTTGGCGATGTCATGCGGTGTTTTCAGTTTAGGTATTCGAATTTCAAACAAATAAGAGAAAACCTGTACGCCAATCCCAATTTTTTGCGTTAGTAAAGTTTTACGTGTTGCTACAAGTAATATTGCTTTAACATATCGGTCATCATCATCCACTTGCCCTTATCCCTTATGGAGGGTCGGCACAGTATGTGCTGCTCTTCCATACATCTCTATCAGCCGTCATATCTGAATCCACTCCTTTCTTAAGCATATCTTCCTTTACACAATCCATCCACATTCAATCTCAACACTTTCTGGTTTATGTCCCCATCATTTCGTCGCATAAAAATAAATTATTAGTATTAGCATCGGTAGTAAATTATAACTAATGTTTAGAAACTTTTTAGAAGTAAATATTTTTACTTCACTACATTAATCAATCGCCTATTTTTCTACCAACAACGAAAGGATTGATGTCTGGCAACTCCAGGTCACTGCTGGAAAGGGACACAGCTAACACTTATAGCGCTCTCACTCAGGTTCAATTTTATTTTGCTTGCAATAAGACTCTTATCCCCTTAAAATAAGGTTTTATTTTCTTTATTTTGACTGCAGAAGTACAGACCTGTTGTACGTAGAACTTATTACCTCCAAGGGTAACACTAAAAAGTTGTCAAATGTCAAATATGACATTACGTCTGCCTTGAAAACATAACCATAATATTGCTGATTTTCGTCAAACTTTTTTTATAAATTCACGCGTTACACATTCTTTAGTAATGGCAAAACTTCATAATTATTACGTTTTGTGTCCACTAATTGATCAGAAGAGTTTTTTAGGTGTAGCACATGATAAAGAAGAGTCGAGCGTTGTTGTATCTCTAGGCCGGAATGTGGTTAATAAATATCGGGTACGCTAATATTTTGATCGAAATACTTCTTCATTCAATTGTAAATATTTTAATAACTATTCGTTTTAATTCATTTGTAGAATAAGTTATTTTTGACATGTGCATTAACAACTGAAAGAGGTTATAATTTATATTACATTGTTAGCTCTCAGATCAAAAACAAATTGGCGGCTGGACATCAAAGGACCACATAACTGCCCCAGTTATTTACGACAAAGAGCAAGATAACTATGTTGGAGTTTTCAATAACAATGCTATAAAGACATGGAAAGAGGACTCGGATAATTTGGATAAAATCAAGAAACAAAAAGTATGATATTAGAACTTGTTAATTAAAAATATAAAAAACAATGACTTTATGATGTGTAAAGTCTAATGAATAATATCAAATTAATTATTTTAATTAAACTCCTATATAAAAATAATTCTTTTAAATTCTTTTGTTTTTCAGTTTACAACAAACATTCTGAAGCTCATAAAGAGAGAAGAAGAGTCACCACTTGTTGTATTTTCAAACGGAAATTGTGCAGCTCTCTCATTTGCATTAGATAATAGAAAAAGCATTGAAAGTAAAGCATTAATTAAAGAAACAGAAGCAATTGTTAATGTAGCATATTATAGTCTTAATAATATAGCACATATTTGTTACATAATAAAAAACAATAAAGATAATTATGATATTTTGACTTGTCCATTGAGAGAAGAGTTGGGCGATATGGAGAAAACAAAGCTGCAAAGGATGAGAGTAACAAGAACTGAAGATGTTTACGTAGTTGGACATCTCATTGTTAAAGAAAAACTTGGAGTTTATATTTTATGTGAGTATTAACTATTTACAATGGTACTGCAATTATTTACTGTTTTGTGATGAATAGTATTGTAAAATTTAAATATCTTAAATGTCAATAGAAATACAAACAAACTATAACTGAACAAGAAGTCACAGAATGTATTTGATGGAAAATTCCAATATGTTATGTTTAACTAACTGCAACTTAAAGCCAGATTGTTGTAATGCAAGTTATGAAATACAAACATATATGAAAACACCAACATAGTAATAATAGTTGTTCAGTTTACAGTCTAAATGATTCAAGATAGTGTCTGAGGGTTCAGTGTAAAGAAATGGCATTTTTAATACATAATGAGAATATCAACGTATGAGATCCTACCTTGCTATTAGAATTATTTGATAGTGTTTTATTTTTTCAGGGAGTGATAGCAAATTAACAGTTTATGATTTCGATAAAAGAAATTGGAGAACAATTGGTTCAGTTCCGTGGATATCTACATTCTCCAGTGTTTCTATCGCATGGATGGGGAAAAACCATTTAATATTATTTGGTAGCAATGTAGAACAAGATGGAGCTATCATTGTTGCATATAATATAGTATTAGGTGTTGGCTCCTGTAAGTATCCAATGAAAATGTACACAGAAGGTGCTAAACTATATTGTTTCGATAACCGTATAGTACTAGAAGCTTCAAACCATATCGGAATGTTGCCATATTTAGTGGAAACTAAGAGAAATCTCTCCAGCTTACTCGGTTCCCATGAGGTGACAACAGATGAACCAACAGAAATTGCAAACTGGGGCACACCTACCAAACCATTATTCCATAGCAGTGAAGATATCAAAGCTTTAGTTAATTTAGGTCTAACAGAAAGAAATATATGCTTACAAATAATACCTTTATTGATAGAAAAGAATGATTATAACAGAATTGTCAAAGTTTTAAATGATTTCAAAGATGTGCCGGAGTCAATTTTAGTTCTGTTACTTACCTACGCTATAAAATTAGTTAATCCAAATAATGTTGATGTTACAAATAATGTGGAGTTTCTTAGAATATGTGAAAGTGATTTACAAACTGATGGGAAGGCACATCATATCAAATTGAATTTCCTGAACTATGTGCTACAGATACCAGTGAGTGACGCCTCACTAGTCCCGTATTTAAGGAATGGATTAACTCTGGATAATGCTTTGTTTCTGATGAGTTATATATCTTATTTACTTGTGGATTCAGAAATGGATATTCAAATAGAATACGAAAGTAAACTGTTAGACTGGTGTACATTACTGATGGATGCATTTTATCAGCAGTACTTGATGACAAAGGATGAGAAAGTCACATTTGTTTTGGATACAATGAAGATAATTGTAGATAATCTTGTCGATCAGTTGATGGTAGTTGATAGTCTGTTGCCTAAGTTACACCAAACTGTGTGCGGGAAGCAGTCAAATAACGATGTAGATGAATTATTGTCATATACAATTGAATTGATGGAAATATAGTTATAACTTAAAACTGGTTTGATTTCATAATCCCTCAAATTACAATGTTTATCTAAAAATCCGGCTTGAAGGACCAAAACATTTATTGCAAGATCACTAGTGCCTTACACTTTGACTATATTTTTAAACATACAAATATTAAACTACATTTTCAGACAGTACAGTACAGAATTCTACAATCTAAGTTAAAACCAATTACAATAAACATTGGAATGATAAAATATATTTTAAGGAAGAATAAAATTCAAGTGATTATTCAATAGATTTTTTATTAGCAGCTCTAGCAAATTGCACCACCATAGGCTTCTCTTTAAGCATGAAACCATTTGTCTCATTTAATGCATCTTCAGCTATTTTAACGGAAGGAAAAGTGACAAATGCTTGGCCTTTCATTCTACCCTCCTGCATCACACGGACATCAAAACCAATTTGCTTATCTTCAGGAAGTTTTTCTATATATCGTCTATAAATTCTTGTCACATCTTGCTCAGTAGCTGTTTTAGCTAAATTTTTTATGTACAACCTCATTGATGGTTGACCAGGGTGGTAATTTTTGAAAACAGGTAAAACTTTCATATCTCTATATGAAATTCTGTTTCTTACTAATTCACTTCGACTTATTGTTGGCTGTTCGGGTTCTATCTGTGTTTGTTCAATTTGTGTTTCCTGAAGTTCTTTCTCAAATTTGCCAAGTTCACCGATCACTTCTGGTTCCTCTGTCGGCTTTGTCAATGCATCTTGGGGAACTATGACTGAGATCTTCTTGATCTCAGGAGTAGGGGCTACAGTTTCAAATACTTCTTCTTGATTTAGTGACGATTTCTTTGTTTTTGGCATAGTTGCAGTAGATAAAACGGCAGCTGGTCTTTTTCTGGTGACAGGCAAAGTGTGTATTCTACGTCTTGGTAAACTAGACACAACTTCTTTGTGTTGTTCAGTCTCATCACTTGATATTTCCGACTCAGGTTCACTGGGCACCGCAGGTAAAGGGATAGTAGGGGGATCAGGAAAGAATTGCTTAAAAGTATCTTTGAAAAACAATACAGCTTTTTCATTTTCATTAAATGGTGAATCAAGTGACATTTTATTCATAAGATGTAAGGATTGAATGTAAAATGGCTTATGTGTAAATAAATTATGTACAATATTTACAACGATTTTAGGATCTACATTAGGATATTTATATTTAACATGTGCTGGAGGAGGTTGATAGAAATTCACAGATGGATTCCACGCATTGAGGAGTTTTAGAAACTCTTTGATATGTTTAGTGGTAACTGAAGTTTTGTCTTCATTATATTTGTTTTGATTAACCGGCTCTTTATCAAAGGAAAATTCTACTATTAATCGCCTTTGCGCGATTTCAAGCTGATGTAATCTAAATAAAGATTCTTTCGCTTTTTCGATACTAGCAAAAGACGCAAATACATAATTACGCTTTTTAGGTGTCTCCCAAACTTGCAGAGCACCGAAATGCATCAAAAGCTGCTCCTTGTCTTTAAAAGATAGTGTTTCAGGTAAATGTCGAATGATTAGCACTTTGGACATAGTTCCAATTAAATCAGCTTCCAGTAACAACTCTGAACACAAACAGTTTTTGTTCAATAACACTTACAAATTCATATAATTTATTAAATCATAGTAATAGTAAAATATTTTTTCAACATCGCAAATCAAAACAAACTTGACATTTGGTTTAACAATTTTGACATTATTTTTTTTAATACATGGCAGACAAACGAAAGACTTCACATTTCTTCGTTAAATAAAGTAAAGTCGCTTGGGAATCAAATCAATACAAGTACCTACCCGTAAAGTAGTAGTAATAGCTACTTTTATATGTTTAACTTTTAGGTAACTTCTTGAATTGCAATCCTTATTTAGTGATACCGTTTTTAATGTACCTTTGAATATTGTGTTGTTTTTAAAATTGTTGGCCATTTGTCAGACATGAAAAAAAAAACTAAAACAATGACATTGATAGAAAATCTGTCATCGACTGACAAGCTGATAACCGGTGCATATTGTTGTGTTGTTGGCAAAGTAAAGTAAAACTTTATAAAGCAGATAGAAACTGCCTGTTGATATGAGGACTATAAATTAAATAGAAAACAGAAAAAAAGAGGCGCTATGACAGATCAACATCCAAAAAAGTCTGTTAAAATTGTAGTCTTGGGGGATATAGGCAGAAGTCCGCGAATGCAATACCATGCCTTATCATTGAGTAATAATGGTTTAAAAGTTAATATAATTGGCTACACGGACTCTTCTCCACTTACAGAAGTACTCGAAAACTCGAATATAACCATAACAAAGCTACACAGCTGTAATTTTGATAGGGGCCCGAGGTTTTTACAGCTTATGTTGAAAGCAGTTTGGCAAGCAATTAGTTTATTTCTAACTCTACTAATAACAGGAAGTTGCGATTATTTGCTTTGTCAGAATCCGCCTGCAGTCCCTACACTTCCTGTTTGTCGATTTTACTGTCTAGTTACAAGAACAAGATTCATTATAGACTGGCATAATTATGGGCACACTATCATGGCGTTATCAATGTCACCGAGCCTAAAAATAATACTAAAGATTTACACTTTTCTGGAAAAGTATTTTGGTCAATCAGCACAGCATAATCTTTGTGTCACATATGCTATGAAAGAAGATTTATTAGATAACTGGAATATAAAGTAGGTTTACTCTTATGTCTAAAATTATAAATACATATTATACTTTCATTGTAGATTAATTAATTCATTATAGATTAAATTAATTTAGTTATTCAGTTTGATTGGAATTTATTATTTAAAATTTCAGCGCTACAGTTCTGTATGACAGACCACCTCACATATTCCATCCTATAAATCTGCAAGAAAAACATGATTGGTTTGTTAAATTCTGTCAAAAATACCCAGAGCACTTTCCATTAAACAATGTTGGGAATTCAGGAGATATAATCAGTACACCTTTCACACATATAGTAGATAATGAAGTTAAATTAAAACAAGACAGACCTGGGTTACTCTTTAGTAGTACAAGCTGGACCCCAGATGAGGACTTTAGTATATTACTGGAAGCATTGCAAGGTAATGTGAACACTTCTATAACTTATCTATACAAATTTTATAAGTAGAAAGATTTGTATTTTTGTATGCATTAAAATAACTCAAAAAATACTGGCCCGAATTCAAAAATCATTTCATAAGAAAGATACATTATCAGAGAGTAACAGGCTATGTTTTTTACTATTTCATGTGGATGAAGTTGCTAGCAACAGCTAGTGTTTTATACATTTATTTGTTTATCCATTCTTGACTGTTGTGCTTATGCATGAAAAGGAACAACCAATAAATCTATGCCACATCAAAATACAGTCTATAAAGCAGGCATTGTTTCTGGCAATCCTCCACATTGTCATCATTAACTTAGACTATAGACTTTATATGAATTGTCATTGTAATTATTTCAGTGTACGAAACTACATATGATTTAACTAACAGTCTACCGAAACTGGTATGTGTGATAACAGGCAAAGGACCTATGAGACAACATTATTTAGACTTGATAGCATCAAAACATTGGCAATATGTCACCATGGTCACCCCCTGGTTGGATGCCTGTGATTACCCCACTATGGTAGCGAGTGCAGATCTAGGGGTCTGTTTACACACTAGTTCCTCTGGCTTGGATCTACCTATGAAAGTTGTTGATATGTTCGGAGCTGGTTTACCAGTTTGTGCTGTTTCTTTTCGATGGTATGTATAAAATTGTTTAATTCTAAATAAATATTTTAAAGAGTTTTTTTTAAGATGAAAACAGTGAAGAATGTTTCTTTTAGAAAAGTACTTTTAATGTTAAGTAATTTATTGTGTTTTGCAAACTTTAAAATAAATCCTAATTTCAGTAACGAGTTCAGTTTCTCTGTGAATTTAATTTTGGAAGGATGTTTGTTAGAGTTTGTAGCCTAAAGGGCTGAATGAATTTCGATGAAATTTGGCATGGATGTAGGAGATAGTCTGGAAGAACACATAGGTTACTTGCTTTCATTGTTTTTTAATTCCGCGCAAACAAAGTCACGTGCGAAAGCTAGTAAAACCATGAAAACAATATTTGTGACATTTATAATTAATTCTGTTTTCAGTCTTGAAGAGCTCGTCCAACATGGAGTTAATGGTTATGTGTTCAAGACAAGTGATGAACTTTCAAAGCTCATTGTGGGCTGGTTTGAAGGCTTCCCAAATAATGATGAGAGGAACAAGAGAGAGCAGGAAATGAGAAGAGAACTCACTAAGTTCCAAGAAACAAGATGGGAGGGAAATTGGAACTTGAGAGCAAAGAAATTTTTTGAATGATAATGTAATTTAACTTAAAATTGCAGAATTATCATAGTATGTAAGATAATAAGACTATTTTTTTATCTTTACGATATTTATGATTGTTATTGTCATTATTTAAATACCTGAGATAATAAATATTTAACCAAAAATTATTTTTGTCTTATTATATCAACTCTTTGGAATTAAGCAAGGGTGAAAATAGGTAAAATAAACAAAAAGCATATACATCTTAAAATACTTGTATTTAAAAAAATAACATTTTTAACTTCACACAGTCACTTACACTAAAAGTCTTTCAATTTCTTGTTGGATACCCTGAATTTGTGGCTTCAACTGGGAGCCCTCATTGATTGTAATGGAGCATGCCACTATGGGGCGAGAGACACCACATGCTCGACCCAAAGCCTGTTTGGATCTTACAAACACATATGGTACGTTCTTGTCCTCACAGAGTATCGGAATGTGCAAAACAATTTCCAATGGTTCAGCATCCGCCGCCATTATGACGAACTCTGACAACCCACGATTCAAAGTTTTCGTCGCCTCGTTGGCGCCCTTACGGAGCTGCTTGTAGTTAGCCGCCTGTTGGACGAGATTCAAGATCTTCGCGGTGAGGGCAGCGTCGGCCAAAGGATAGGCTTTTGGATTGACTGCTGGTTCGTTTTCCGCCTAGAATGAAACACATAAGTTGACATTTTTAATCATTAAAACAAGTAATCGTGTAGTTGCTAAGTTTATTTATTAGTTTAAATTGATAACAATATATGTGCATGAGAAGCAACCGCACGGTAAACATAACCTACAAATGTACACAATACACATGGGCGAGTAGATGTGAGAAACAGTTTGGAGGGGTAACAATTAAATATTTGATTTTAATGATACTATTAGAGTATAATTACACTCACCATTTTTTTTAAATAACTTTCAATATGTTAAAAAATGAAATAACCTCTCAGCGATTACTCGCGTCACTGAGGGATTGTCTTCTTATTTAAAAGAAGGGCTTTCTGAATGTTTGTTAAAACTTGTCTTTCTGATATAGATCAGAAAAACAATATTTTGAGATATACTAAATTAATAGAAATCACCACGCTTTAATATTTTAGTCCCGCGAAAAACTTTGTTAGAGCTGTCAGTAAATTGTGAAGTGAACCACAGATAACATAAACCTTTCACAGTGTTGCAATGGGAATTATTAAATTGTATTTAAAAAGATAAATACTGTCTATGCTTGATTAATTCGTCAGGTCTTAATATCATTCAGATGGTTAAATTTGAAGAATTGGGATAAACTCGGTGATAATAAATTACCAATGTTCACTATACATTATATATTATTAACGAATTAACGAACTATTACAGACATATTAAAATGTTTTTTTTTTTAAATTTACTTTAATGCACTAATAAAAATTACATTTATTCTTGACAAGATATTTTTATATAATTATTAAACTGTTCCAAATCATATAACATACAGTAAATAAATCCCACAGCGCTATAACCACTCGGAATATCTATCATAACCACTCCACATCAGTTGATAATTACAATCAGTGGGGAACTCAAATAAACCTGATGACCTGTAGATCATCGCACTGTTCATGGCTGAAGCAAATCAGTGAACCGGCTCATAGTTAAGCTCAATTTATACCTGCATTGAGGTATGATTTGAATGAGTCATCAGACAGTTTGCACGCCTACTCCCGTAATTATAGTATGTTGATTGAGTCATGTGCTGCTAATCAAATTGTTGAACTGCAGTTCAATGGTTAAGGACTATGAGCTGATCTTTTGAACCAGCTCAGAGATGATGTATGTGTGTGACCTATGTAATACTAAATTTTATATGTCCACATTGTACACAGTATTATAATAAGTCCATATTGAAGCCGATTTAAGTTGGCTTCACATACTTATACTAGTTTTTTTTGTACATGTTCTGATTGGATGGCGCATTCTGATTGGAGAGGAACGCCAGGTGACCTTTGGGACATTTGTTGGCGTAATGACCCTTAGTTCCACACTTGAAACATGTGACTTCCTCCAAAGGCTTATGCAAGAGACGAAGGCGATGCGCACTTGCATCATCACTCTCACTAGCCGGCTTCACATAACCCAGGGCACGGTATCTTGCCTCCTCCTGTCTTTGCGCTGCTTCTCTTTTCTGAAAATTTTAAATTCCAAATACATATCTATTGAAATTAATACAACACTATTGTATTTGTCTGCCTTCATACTTTAAATAATAAAGTATATGTTTCTAAAAACAGGAACATCATTCAGGATTGTTAAGTGTGGTATCATTAATTTAATTAAAATAATAATGGAAAGGAATAGACAAAAAAATAACTACCTCTTGTGGAATCTTATTACAAGAGGATGCTTTATGTCCAACTTCAGAGCAATAGTGGCATACTGGCAATCTTTTGGCATCTTTAGTCTGCTCCGGTGGTGCGGGCAATTCAAACCTTGGATGCATGTATTTGCAATTTGCTCCATCTGGACAAAAGCCTGATAAGTAGTTAATGCAGAGAACTCGGCGGACATGTCGGTGTCTACAGTGTGGGCCGTGCCGACAAAAGCCTCGGTCATACCTAAAAAAGTTTGAAAGGACTTTATTATATGCTTGATATCCTTAGCATTACTATAACTATATTAATGTAATCATAAGTCCATATCTTACCATGGACAGTCTTTAATCTTGCTTTCAGGATCAATATGTAAAAATGGACATTCCTTATTATGGCATGCATTAAACCGAGCATAGAAGTAACACTCCGGCATCTTAGACATATCATACTCATGAAGGAATTCACATTGATCCCCCTTCTTACAAAGACCTCTTAACCAATGCTTGCATACTACGGTGCGGTCGCCACGAACGTGCCTGTACGGGCACTGAGGGCCATTGCTACAACCTCCAGGGTTGCTGTAAAATTCGCACACTGCAGCTGTCGATTCTGAAATACAACTTTAACATTTATGTGACAGTTCCAATAACAATAATTAATATTAAATACTTTTAACATTTTACGTACTATCCATTCCTGGAAATGGCAAAGGTAGAGCTCCATATTGCTGTTCCAAAGCATAATCTATATCAAACTTAATATGGTCAACATTAGCAACGAGGACTTCCATTATTAAATGTAGTATTTCTTGCAGTTTAAGTTGCAATTCAGTAATTTAGTAACAAAATAATGCACATTAATATCGAATTGCACATTTGACATTCGACGATTTTTTTGACATTGTTTGAAACATTACAGATTACAGACTACGTTAGGTTAGGCAGATTAATAAAATCGACCTGCTATTTATTTATTATCTTTCTGTCGAGCAGGAAAATGTTACCATATATAAAATAGTTATCTGACAGTGACAGTTTTCAGTTTACTTTTCTGTCAAAACTTAAAAATAATGTTTGGTTTTGGTTGGATTGGTAGATTTTAATTTTAATATCCCTTTCCTTATCTTGGGTTTGATTATATTTATTTAATTAATTAATGATAAGTTACTTTTAACTTGTGAATTTTAGAAGTATTGCTTAAAAAATGTCTATCTCCGATTTAAAGCATTCTTTGAGAAAGTTAGAGTTTCCAGCATCCGCCAAAGAAGCTTTATTAAAAATTGGTGAGTATTTTCCCTAACTAAGAAGTACTTATCTTCTGAATGTATTGTATTTTTTATGGTATGTGCAGTGTACTCTCATGTTTGCCATTATCTTGATGTTTTCAGAACAACTGTTGGTGGGAAGGGTTGCTCCGACAAATAAACAAATCGATGGGGCAATGGAAATTGTATCAGAGTTTGTGTTTTGTGAAGCAGACCGTCGCGGCGGTCGCCGAGGCGGGGGTCTAAGTCCTCTCCAAGAGTTGCAACTCATAGACATTATTTGCGAATATCTATCTGCCTGTAATAATGAAACTACTAAGAATACAATATTTCTATCTCTATTCGGTGATATGGAGAATCAGCGAAAGTTAAAAATATTGTGTATTTTAGCTAGTATGGCTGTGTCTGCCTCTAGCACACCAGTAAGTAATCCTGGCAAATTAAATTTTGTTTAGACCAAATAGTGTTTAAGTCTGTAGAATAATTATAAATTCCACTTACATTTTATTGGGTGTTTTCATTTTCTATTTAATATTTAATAGTATAAAAACACTGTCCTGATCAATCACTGTCACTAGGTTCTTCTAGCAGTCGGTGTGTGGCTGCAACAGATGGGGTGCTCATCACCACAGTCTTTGCAACTCGTAGAGAATATAATCCGAGATCATTTCTATCTTGATACAAAAAACCAAGGAACACTGCAGTCTCTAGCCAGCACTGCTCCACAGTTTGTTTCAAACTTCATCACTTCTGTCACCGAGCTTTACATGTTGGATGGTCAGAATCCTGTCAAGTTGCCACCGAAGAATCTTCTGGAAGTCATTACATTGTGGGTTAGTAACTTATTAAAAACACACTTTAAGTGACAGTAGAATGTTATGTCAGTTTTGGTGTGATTTAAATTTACATTTTCAGGTGTACACCACACCAACCTTATGTATGTCAGCACAAGTAAATGCTGCAGCACTGCCCAATGGTGCAATACCAATGGCAGCTGTCACACCATTTGCGGGACTGATTAGATGGTGTGCACTAGCACCCCTATATGTTGATGAAGGTAAAATGATCATAAAAAATATAAATTTGTGTCTACTTAATAGTTTTACTGAGTTTTAACATAATTTTTTGGAGATATGGTGTATCATATTTGATATGTTTGTATAATATAAAACACAGATGCAGAAATGGTAGAAGTTCAAGTCAAAAAAATAAAACTGGAAGGTGAGAAGACATTGAAATCAATTACAAAAGCACAGACAGAGCGGGAACTGTATCTACAACTGCAGCTGGGAGTTTTGCAGAGCATGCGGTGGTGGCGGTGCCGCGGCCCGCCCGCCGCACTCAACGCGCAGAAGGTAGCCGCCCTCGTACACCCCATCAGACAGTACACACAGCACCTTAAGGAGCGGGGCTGTGATGTGACACAGGATGAAAGATTGCAAGTTAGTCTCCAAATATATTACAATTGTAATTGCAGATCACAAGTATTTTGTTCAATTCACATAACATTTATTAGTTTAATTCAATTGAAATGAGTATATTCCTTGTCTGTGTTATTTTTGGGAAATATAGTGTTTAAATAGATGATGCAAACTTTTTTGGCTGATTGCTTCTAAAATGTCTGCGATACCAAGACTTTTAAAGATAAAATTGTTTAGATAGTGCAACAAGTAATCAACCAAATATATTTTTAGTCACTGTGTAACTAAAATCGCTCATTTTGCAGGAAACCCTTGATCGTATTGGCCAGGCGGTGCAAGTGGCTTTGGCAAGTGGTTGTGTTTATGGCAACATCAACCATCTGTTAGCAGCTTTAGATTCCTTACCGGAGGCTAGGTTATTGAAAATTGTTGTAAAAACACATCAACAGGCTATCTGACAGGGACTATGTGCCAATGATGGGACAACATGAAGTCCATGGTGAATACTGCGGTTGCAGTAGTTACAATTGGTACATTGTATGAAAATATGTAATATTTGTGTTAATGTGGCTGAAGAAATATATGATTTAAACCAATGCAATATAAAAAGTAACAAAACCTTTTTGTAAGGAACTGACATCAGTATCAACAGAACAATTATATTAAACAATTTAATATCAATAGAATTGGATTAAAAATGTAAACTTTCTCTAGAAAAAATCATATTTTATGTACTAATATTAATGTTTTGTCTAGAGAAAGTTTTCTAAAACTGTATGTTATACTTTTGATAATAACATGTAGTATTTTTAAGTAAAAAAATTGTAAATATGTAAAATACGATAATATGCCAATGCTAAATACCATAACAAACAAAATGAAAAAGAAAAAGGAAATTCAACCATAATATTAAACCAAATAATAAAATTTTTTATCAAGAAAAAAATGAAATAAAAACAGATAAAGAAAAAAAAATACCAGAAATATAACAAGAACAGGAAATGGAGGAGGCCTGTGACATCTCATACTTATTTATATATGTAAAATATATAAAATTATGTCAATAAAAAGGCTAATAAAAAAAATACCATAATAACCATTTTTTGTCATGCATTTTGTATATGTATTTTCCAACTTATGAATATGAAATAAAATGTGTTTAAAACATATTTGAAATGAAACTAGTAAAAAGTATTTTTATTTTATTAAAAAGGTTTAAATCTTCTGCTTTGTTTGATTTGTGCGATTTTCCTTTTATCCTCTTCAAACTTCTGCCTCAGTGCAACAATATGTTTCATTTTAGATTCTCTTATTTGGAAAGTGTAGAAATTTTTCAGTTCTTTTCTCTTTTTATTCTTTTCTTCTTTAGTCATAATCTTGTGTTCGACTTTATCAGATCGGGCAAAGCTCTGCACTTTCCCACCCTTTGTAACAGTAACCCAACCTTCGTCATCTTCCTGCTCTAATTGTTTTTCCTTCTCTTCCGCACTCTTTTTTTCCGCATCATAAGATTTCATAAACTCTTCAATGCTTTCCTTAAGGTTTTTAGGTAACATTATTGAATTATTGTATTCTTGTATCCATTTATCCATACCAAGTTTTATTTCATCATTGCTATCATACATAGGCTTTAATTTTGACAGTTTTAAGGCTTTGTCCAGCTGTGCAACTTTCTTAAATACCACATACGCTATCCTAAACCTTGGATTCAATGGTTCCGCTAATAATGTTTTGGTAGGTTTTTCTTTTATTTCATTGGGTTTATTACTAAAGCTCACGGAATGCACCGTACCAGCTTCTTGAAAGGCGTTTGAAAGCCCTTTTTCATCGGCATACGGTGGCAAGTTGACAACGAAAAGAGTTCGACCGGATGGTTTGTCCGAACTGTGTTCTCTCACTGAATGTTCTTTGAAATAAATGACATGTGGGGACACAGACTCTTCGGTGAGTTTTAGCTCTAATGCTGAAACAAAATTTTAGTGTGAGAAATTGATGAGATATTGTAGTGATTTTCATTAAATTAATGAATTACCTTTAAAATCATGACTTCTCTTATTGGCTTTCATTGTACATAAGTCTCCTAATCAAAGCTATCTACAGTAGCAACGAAATGCTATTTAATTGGGAAATACGACTGGTACAACGATCAACAAATTATTAGCACTAGCATTGTTTACTACTTGCACGCAATCATAAAAGTGAGGTTATTTTTATGCATTAAAACTTTATGACAAATGAGTCAAATGACATATAAATAAGTACCAAAAAGTCTAGAACAAATGTAGCGAATAAACAGCTGAGGGTAGCATTAAAGGCTTTCTTGTTTCAAATAATTTAAATCATATTTCGGAATAGGTATCGCCGATGAATTACTACCAATAGCTAGATTTTATGATTTAAGCATAAGCTTAGTCTCAAAAACAAAGAGCTTTAATCTTTGCTTTGTGACATTGTTAACAATTGACAGATTTCCTATATAGTCTATGACACTTGTATTTTCTTGTCTGTTGGCATAAGAAGTTGATGAAGAATCGTTTGTCTACATTAAGTTTTTACAGTGTTTTGGCGTTATTTTACGGCCATGTGTGGTTTAATTTACACATTGAACAAAATTCCTAGTGATGCTATCCACTTCTGCAAATAATAAAGTTAAAAATTCAAAAGGATCGGAGAATTCCGACGGTTTAGACCGAAATGAAATCGGTCACGAAAACACAACGGATGATAAGGTCAGAGGTTATGTTGGTGCGTATGATACTCCGTCTTTTAGCGGGCCGCACAGAGATGGTAGATTTCGGAGCCGAGGACGTATCACCGAATTCAGGCATTCACGAGGGAGCGGCCGAGGTTCCGGACGGGGCCGCAGCGACTTCCCGCCAAGGTCTGAACATGCTCATGATGAGAATTCCTATAAATATCACGAACCGTTAGGATCATCGAATAACGACAGCTGGTCGCAAGGAAATAGCCATAAATTTTATGATAGATCGGACCTTGCCGTCAATCTGCCTGAAGATCCACGTATATCAAAGCTTTTGCGTCGCTTGTGTGCTGAAACCGACGTTGAAAAGTCTCTGGTCATATGTAGCAAGCTGCAAGATGCGGTAATGTTACCTGAAAATGCAAGATACATACGAAGATCTTATGATATCTTAGTAGAATCACTTTTGGATGTTCTGTTTGACGCGCCTAGCCCGGAAATTAAAGAGAAGGCAGCGATTGTATTGGGGAGGATCGGTTATGTCATGGGACATGATTTTAAGAGACATCTGGATTGGGTTGCAATGACTTTTTCTGACCATAACACATCTATTAAACATTATTTGACTCTCTCCTTTATAGAAACATTTCAGCTGGATTTTCAAACACCTAATTTATCTGACTTTGCAGAAATGACCCTGGATCGCTTGCAGGAAATTATAGAAAGTACTGACTCTGCAGATGTCTTTATGGCTGCCATCAATGCTATGATTGTTATGTCAAACTTATATCCTGAAAATTTTGCAAACCATTTTGTTGACACAGTGGATATTCTTGTTGGGTGGCATGTTGACAATGCACAACCTAAGAAAATAAAAGAATTTGCTCTTCAGTCATTACTTAAACTGAGTCGTCATTGGCAAGCGGACGTTGGATTTTCGGTAAATCTTTTAAATCAATTTATTGAAGATATGGTGGCCTATACAAATGAATTGGAAACTAATAACCATGAGTCTGCATCAGATTCTCATGAAGACTGTATGCAGAAGATTGCATCATTTCTCAATGTCTTCAACACTGTTGTCAAAAGTTTGGGCACCCTACTCAGCCCTACAGTTTCTCAAACTGCGTCTTGGTCTTTCCTCACAGAAGCAATGGCAAAAATAATTCAAGTATTGACAGAAGTGCTACGTGATGATGTTGAGCCAGATTTGATAATAGCAGGAAATGAAAGTATTACATTGCTCCTGATATACTTGCAGACTAAGGCAACTTCTTGCTCATCAGCATTATTCTCACTCATAACTGTGGAGTTGACAAAATATCTAATGATTGACACAGAAGTCTGCCTCAGCATTATAAATCTTATATCCATAACCATTAAAGAGATAGCTGCAAATCTTCCTCTGGAATTTATCACACAGATTATTGGCCCTCAGTCTTTGCTTCGGCCTTTGAGGTTTTCTGATAATACTAAAATTCTGACAAATGTAATGTTGGTGTACAGTAATTTCCTAAATTTGAAAAACATCCCATTATTACAAGAAACATACAAATTTGTCTTGATGGATATACAAAATGCCTTTTCTATTATTATACCTGGTATAAAGATTATCCAAGTTGAATATGCTGAAGAACTTTCCAAGGAAGATGCTGAGAAAAACATAATATTCTATTTACAATGTTTGTGTGACCTAGCGAATGCAAGTAACTCTATAATTGGTATGTGGGCATTGAAACCGAGCATTCTAGAGCTTTTAGCAATCAAGATGTGTCCTCATGATGAAAATTTAATAAAACATAAACCTACATTACAATATGCTATATTATATTTACTCTATTCCCATTGTAAGAAGAACAATCATTTTATTGCATCAAGTGATTTGGTTACCAATACGCAACAGAGAGCAAGTGATATTTATGGTCTATCAAATCTTAACATTGGTGATGTTTCAAGTGTAAGTCCAACCTCGGGACATTTAGCAGTTATATTGAACACATTGAGTATCATTCTAGAAGAAGATGTACCACAAGAAACCTTGTTATTAGTATTGACATGGATATCAGATATTTTCTGTCAGCTTGAAAAATATTTGCCCATTGTAAGCTTGTCAAAAGGCTTCCTGGTTTTAACAACAAATATGCTAATGCATGCCCACAATTTCAATGAGAATGTTACTCTTATAGTCTTGCAGAATTGCCAACAATTGCTAAAAAATAAAGGTTTGGTCTGGAATGCCATGGTACTGAATAAAATGGCAATAATCTGCATTTTACACATAGATAATCTGAATAAAACGGTATCGAGTTTATGTAAGGATGTGCTCTTTGAACTGCCTTGGGATATTGTCCAACAAGAACTTGACAGGCAAATGGTTAAAGTTTTTACATCAAGAAAGGTCAGCCTGACAGTCCTTAATAGTGACACAAAACTAAATGCTTTAAAAGAGTATCTTATGAGAGGATCATTTACAACATTATCCAACAATCATTTCAAATCCATAATGAATAACTTATTAAAATTATCAATCACTGACAAAAACTTGTTAATTGATGCCTTCTTAGTATCATGGCCAATACAAGGACAAGACTTTGATGAGAAAAATTTACTATTTTTTCGCGAATGTGCCACTTGCTTTTCTTCAATTTGTGTAAGCTGGGCACTCTCTGAATTGGCACAAACTTGTATCACACTAAAACTGAGAACTGCTTTGGGAAAACCGCAGGATACTTTTACGAAGATCGAAGGCGCTTTAAAAGCAATAGCAAGAGACGTATCTTCGACTGAAAGTAAGTTTGTAGCTAAAGAAGAACATAACTTGCTGGATGTTATAGTTGCAGAACAGGTGCGAACACATTGGTTTATTGAGTTTATGACATTCTTGGAAAAGTACATTTATAATGCAGCTGAAGGCACAGCCACAGTTCTGCCTGTCGTCAACAAACCCGTAAGAACATTTTTTCATACAAATTGGCCAACCTGTCGGGAATGGCAAAACAGAGTGCGTCCGGCTACGTTAGCTGTCAGTCTACATTCAGGTCATTTCGGCGCTGTTGTTTACCATGCGTCTCTAATCCTTCAGACCGCACTTTCCAATGCTAACATTGATATTGAAGCAATAGCAATTAATATGGCGCGAGCTGTTATTAAAATTCAAGAGCCAGAAGTCTTACATGGCCTATACATATGGCTGAAGCAAAATTTTAACAAGAAATTACCCTGGTTGAAGGGAGCCGCGGAACAAGCCAATTCCCGCTATGAAGTAGCAATCGAATTTTATAAGAAATTAATTGCTGAAAGAGAAAGCCCTGACACTGATTCTAACACTGTTCTAGATGCAAAAGGAACTAAATTTATTGAAGAGCAAATGATAGAGTCATACAAAAACATACAAAGTTGGGAAGACATACAAACAGTAAAGATTTATAATGATGAAAACAAGTCAGATCCGTATTGGGATTGCTCATCTGCACTAAGGATGTTCGAAGATGGCGAAGAGATCACTGAGCAATTATCCGACTGGGATATTTTACATCCGGACAGTACAGAATTGTCAAAAAATACATGCTCATATCAAGGCCTCTTGAACAAGATTGAATCCACTTTGCTGCACACAGCCATCAATTATTATTATAATGATTACGATGAATCATTTGAAGCCATCCTGCAAAATTGTAAGACATTGCTTAATGCAAGCGCAGAAGAATTTGCGAGGACAAATGCTGTCCACCTTTTAAAAGAAATTGCTGTACTCCAACTAGCAAATCACGGATTGACAAGTGTGCTAAAAAACGGAAAGGCAATATTAAATCCATTCAAACCGTCTGTTGTTAAAGATCATAAATATGGAACACAGCTGAAAAACTTAAGTAGAATTTTGTGGTGGAATCAATACTTCACGAAATTAAATATGACCGAAGAAAATGTATTCTACACCGAATGTTTAAGACTCGACGTCATAAAAAGTGCAAGAAAGAATGCTAACTTGGGCATGGCTAAAAGGGAACTCCTCAAGCACTTTAAGCAAAACCCTGCATTCCAGATGTGTTTACACAATGTTGATACTTTGGATGATATGAGCGAGTTGCTGTTGATGTCAAATAATACATATGATTTAGACATTTGGACGTTGAATAACGCAACTGCTTTGGCGGAACTTTGTAAAGTTACATATGCAAAAGAAGACACACGAGTACGCGCTATTAACTTATGTGCGAATATATCCCTCGGATTTTCCCAGCGGCTTGCTTTGGGCGAACCAAGTTATGAGTTAAGGGAAAAGGGAACGAGACTACTCTTAACGCTTTCTAAATGGGTACAAAGTGAAACCGACGAAGTAATAGACAATGATTCACCTTTAATGAAACTAGTATCAGCCTTACCGGAAATTGGCTTAGTAGATAATAATATTTCCGAAAACGTTATTCCACTCTCGGATTCCGCTGTGGGCAAATTGTTGCAGTTTGGCGTCAATCAATGCCCGGGCCTAGCAAAAGCTTGGGCGAGTTTTGCCTCGTGGTGTTTTAGATGGGGCCGAAAAATGGTGGAATTCAGCTCTAAAACAAGGGAGCAGCTTACTGATAATGATAAAATTCAAATAGAGGGAGTTATGATCGGATGCTCTCAGCAGGATTTCGAGGCGGTGTGTGAAATCTTATCGAAAACAAAAGCAACTTGCGACGACGAAGACATCGATTGGAACGAAATAAACACATCGGAAATGATCGAAAATCATTTACGAACTGTACCCTCGTTAAACAACGCTTTCCCAGAACATTTAGCGTTGCTTGTTGATATATGGCGTCAGGCCCAAAAAAGAGTTTTTTCATACTTTGAACTCTCTGCTGATGCGTATTTTAAATTTTTACAGCTTATCTGTGCATCGGATTATATCAATCACAGCGGTGAAAATTCGGTAGTAAACGCTACGTTGCGATTATTAAGATTAATAGTTAAACATGCTATGGAGTTACAAACAGTCCTCGAGTCTGGCTTGGCAAACACCCCAACGCAACCTTGGAAGGTGATCATACCTCAACTATTTTCTAGACTTAACCACCCTGAAACGTACGTGAGGAAATGTGTTTCCGATTTACTATGCCGGCTCGCAGAAGATACTCCCCATTTGATTACTTTCCCGGCTGTCGCGGGAGCAGTTGAAAATGAACAGAACAGTCTGACGGAATTGAGTGTTCCTCGGTCACTTTTGTCCAATGAAGATGTTGAAAGTGATGAAGATAATTTTGATATGGAAGACAACGGCAGTGAAAAAACAACAAATAATGAATTAAATTCTTGTTTCCTTGACATGGTAGAAACGTTAGCGAATCAAGCACCGACGACCATTTTACAAGTGAAACTATTAGTTAAGGAATTGCAGAGAATAAATCTGCTTTGGGATGAATTATGTCTTGGGACATTAGTTCAGCATCATTCTGAATTTAATAAGAGATTGACTCAGTTGGAATCAGAAATTGCTAGAGTAAAAAATAACGTAAACCTATCTGCGGAGGAAAAAGAAAAACTGATTAAAGAGAAACATCGAATTATTTTCGAACCTATCGTATTTGTTTTAGAACAGTTGAACCAAGTAACTTCAGGTAAACCTGAAACACCACATGAAATAGCCTTTCAAGTTAAATTTCAAAGTCTTCTAACGGATGTTATTGACAAAATGAAACATCCACCGAATCCTGATAAACCGCAAGAATCTTGGGCACCGTTGAAGCAGTTACAGATAAAATTGCAACAAAAAGTCAACAAGCGCACATCCTACATTTTAAAGATGTCTGATATCAGTCCCGTTTTGGCCGACATGAGAAATACCGTCATTACAATGCCGGGATTGCATACAAATCAAAGAACCGTTAGGGTGACGATAAAATCCGTAGAAAACAATGTCGCCATCTTACCTACGAAAACGAGACCCAAGAAATTAATCTTTTACGGATCGGATGGCAAAGCGCACACTTATCTCTTCAAAGGGTTAGAAGATTTGCATTTAGACGAAAGAATTATGCAATTGTTATCGATAACTAATACTATGCTGGCGCGTGACTCAGAAAATAACGACAATCAGACATACAG